GGGGGCGTGCAGGAGGCAGCCAACGGGTGACGATTCTTTATTGATTTCAGAGAGGAAGGGAGAGGGGGAGAGAGAGAGAGAGAAACATCGATGATGAGAGAGTCATTGATCAGCTGCCTCCTGCACGCCCCTGACTGAGGACCGAGCCCGCAACCCAGGCATGTACCTTGACCGAGAATCAAACCCCGATCTCCTGGATCCTAGGTTGACGCTCAACTGCTGAGCCACATCCGGCGGGGCAAGATATATTTTTTAAAAATAAAAAATAGCTTCTTTCTAGATATTCTGTCTTAAAGTACCAGAACCTCCTTCTCACCCCCGACTGCTGCTTGGCTGGTGTGCCTGGCACACAGTGGGTCTGCCTCAGGCTACACGGTGTCTCCTGAGACCCCCAGTTGCCTGCCTCCCAGAGCTGGGCCCCAGGGCAGTGCAGATACGCTGAGGCTCCCAGAAGCTCTCAGCTTCTAGTGCTCCATGGAGAAGAGGAGCCACCTGCCTGGAGACAGTCACTCTCTGAGCTAAAAGCAGGGTGGCGACAGGCGTCAGCAAGCCCTGATGGGTTAGCCCCAACTGGGAACACGGAGTGGGGGTGCAGGGAGAGAAGGGGAGCAGAGATGAGGACAGTTGAGAGAGAACCTTCTGGAGATAATAGTCTGGAGAAGGAGGCTGATTTGTAACCTGAAAGTTCAACCAAAACTGACTCAGAATAACTGCCCTCCCACCTGTGGCTGGAGGCTGGAGGCCTCAGCTCAGCTCTGAGGCTTGCTCACCGGGTGGTCCTAGCTTGTCATTAGGCTGCAGGTGCCTTTTATCAGTCATGTTGGGGTTCAGAACATGCTACCCCAGAATAGGGCAACATGGCATCATGGCTCTTTTAAACGGAAGGAATCTGAAAACGGTAGGTGCAGGAAAAACTTCCTGATGTTCCGCTAAAGCAGGAGAAAAGGAGCAGCCGTGTCTCCAAGGGGCCGAGAGGACTCTAAACAACAGAGCTTGCTGCCCCCCCACTGCCCCCTGCCCCCAGCACTTTCCTCGGACCCCCTTATTGTACCGTCATATTTTTCCACAACTTTCCACTCTTCTCGCACCTGGCATTAAAATGCACAGATTTCACCATATCTTTGGATCATCTCCTGTGTCAAGGATCCCACGTCATATAAAATTTATATGAAATAAATACGTATGCTTTTCTCCCCTTAATCTGTCTTTTGTTACAGGGGCCCGAGCTGAGAACTTAAACGGGTAGAAGAAACATATTTTTTTCTCCCTATAATCATGATAGTTTCCTCCCAGTTCCAAGTATCGGTTAAGAGTTTGGGCTCCAGGTTCTGAAACCTGGCTTCACCACTTACCTGCTGTGTGACCTTGGACGTGTTACTTCAAGTCTCTGAGCCATCGTCTGTAAAGTGGGCTCAGAGCTGTTCTCGCCGCATGGTTGGTGTGAAGATGAACTGCAGCGATGTGGAAAGGCTCAGCAGAGCACCTGCGATATACTAAGCGCTCACTGAGGCAAGCCCTTGTTACGAACATCACTGTTATTCGTGGTCTGTGACTCCAGGGCTGGACCCTGAGTGCTTCTCCACACACAGGCAATCTTTCCATAAGCGGGGTCAACCCGAGGCCAGGATCTTGAAACTCAAAGCCCTGCCCAGCTCAGGGTCTATTCCTGGCCACCCATCAGCCTCAGGTACTCCAGAGAGAGCCACCTGGTGACTGAGGAAGAGGAGACATGGAACCAGGAGCTGTGTCAGGGCCTGGAGACCGGCCTGGGGGGCACGTGGGCAGGCAGGCCTCTCGGAAGGTGGCCCCAAACTTTCACATGTCCTCTGCTGTATCCATGCACTGTTAGCCTCCTAACAGTCACCTGTAAATCAACTTCTTTTTTATTTAGATATCTTTATTTTTTAAATAAAAACGTAACTGGAAGATCTGTATTACTGGCCATTAATAGAGGTGAAACTGAACCAGTAAAACGAAAACAGAAGTACAGCCAGGTCCCGCTGGTGCTCTGACTTCCCCAGGGGGATTCTTTGATTTGCGAGTGTCAGAAAAGTGTTAAAGACTTTCCCCAAAAGGGGTTTTTCTTCTGGCCCCAGTTGCAGAGATGGGAGAATTGAATTGAAAATAACGGTCCCACACCCGGCAGTGTTGCGTCACGGCAGGTCGAGGAACCACCTGAAATCTTCCTGCGGTTTGGGGGATATCGTGGGGTTTGGGGCTAAAGCTCTGGCCTGGGTAGTGGGCTCCAGAGGCCCTGGGCTGGAGGGTCCCCAAGATGTCCCTAGGCACGATCCTGGCTCCCCCAGACTTCTAGAACAAGGACCCACTCGCCCCACTCTGGTTTACTGACCTACTCAGTGTGAGACCAGAAGGTTGAGCCACCTGCGTCCCCCAGGGTCTGCTGCCCTTGCCCAGCAGTGACCTTCACCCACACACAGTGTCCCTCACCCACGCCCAACTCGGGCATCCTGAGCAGCCGCTCCGGACAGGTCTCCAGTCACCATCTAAAGCCTTCTCTCCTTACCCATCCCTGGGGTATTTCTGGCTCCAAGAGGGTAAGGAAGCCCTGACACCCGAGACGAAGTCATCCTCGGTGATCGTGAGCGCCTGCCCGAACATGTGCATTAACAGAAGCCTCCCTCGGGCCCCTGTCACATGTGGGCAGCTGCTCAGCCCTGTCCGGTGTCCCGAGGCCCCGAGGCCAGCCCACTCTGGCTTGGCCCGGCACACTAAACTTAGCTTCCACTGTCTGCACCGTAATTGCTGCCACCGGCCTGGCCCGGCTGCCACCTGCCTGGGGACACTGCCGCCTGCCCCTGCCCGGAGCGCCCGCTTCTCCGCGACCACCATGTCCCAGACCAAAACACTGAAGGTCCGCGTGACGCTCTTCTGCATCCTGGTGGGCATCGTGCTGGCCACGGTGGCCGTGGTGAGCGACCACTGGGCCGTGCTGAGCCCCCAGGTGGAGCACCTCAGCGCCGTCTGTGAGGCAGCCCACTTCGGCCTCTGGCGGATTTGCACCAAGAGTATCATCGTGAGCGACAGCAAGGACAAGAGCTGCGGACCCATCACCCTGCCTGGGGGTAACGTACCCACTCCCTGTCCCCTGTCCCTGCTTCCTGCCCTTCCTTGTTCTCCCCACTGGAAAAGTGGCTCCGGACAAGCGCTCTGTGCCCCAGGGAGGTGATCTGAGCTACATGGGGCTGTGCTAGCGACCACGGCCTGTTGTAAAATAAGGGCACTTATCTTTTGCTATTTCTGCTTTGTGAGGCTTGGGGCTTTGCACTCAGAGCAGAGGGCTGGTCGTGTGGGACAAGAGGCTCAGGAAAGACACCATGGACCTGCCAGGTCAGGGGCTTCTGGCCCCATCAGCAGTCACTCTTCTGGGTGTGCCCAGCTCCAGCCCCTCCCTGCAAGGACAGGCTGGTGGCCCTCGGTGCTGAGTCTGAAGGGACCCATGGGGCTGGTGCATTCCTTCCCCAGCCTCCAGGGCACAGACAGGCTAGGCCACGGAATGTACAGGGCCCCATGCAAAGTGGAAACGCAGGGCTCCTTGTCATTAAGAATTTCGAGATGGTAACAGCAGAGTATGAAACCAAGGGTGGCTGCCTCCAGGGTGCGGGGCCTTGGGTGACTGCACAGGGCTGAACGCTGTGTGGGAAGCAGGACCTGGTTGTGGATGAGCCGCCTGCCTCTTGGTGAGAACCATCGCTCCTCTGGTACACTCTCCCTTAGCTCAGACCCCTTGGGAGCTAGAAAGCATTTCCTCCCGCTGTAATCTCGGTGCCTTCCCCGACTTCCTACACGGGACTGAACCACACTGAAGGTGAGCTCCCTGTACAGAAACCTGGCCCGGGATGACCAGTCTCCTCTGCACATGCACAGCCCTCTGCTTTCGTAGTAAGCAGAGCACGTGCTCAGGAAAGAGCCTGCTTGGAATTGGAGGCCAGGGCTCTAATTGTACACTGCCCACGAGCCCGTATATGACTGTGGGGGGCGACAAAGCCTGTCACAGCCTCTGCTTCCTTCCTAAGTTGCTTGGGCTCAGCAACATAAAGTCCCTTCCAATGCTTACAAATGTCGCTCCAAGGTGTCGGTGGACCGGGTTGAGTGTGGCATCCATCCACTTGGTGTTCAAAATTATTCCCTCTGTTATCAGACTGGGTGTTCATTGAAACCTCCCTTTCAAGGAAGCCAAGTCCCCCAAAATCTTGCAGTGTGTGGGGGGGACAAAGGAGCCCAAACCCTGTTCCCTTCATATCCCTCCTTCCTCTTCCTTCCCTGCCTGCTGGCTCTGTCTTGCTCATTCCCACTAGATACTCAGATTTGTAAATACCCAGCTGTCTTGGAAACAGCGAGTCCCAGGGCTGAGGGCTTTAAATGGCATGAACATGTGCTTGAAAGGTATCACATAGCGCAGATGCCACTGCTGAGCATGCCGGTAAACAAATGTATCACCCAGCCAGCTCCCCTGGGCAGGGCAGGGCAGGGCAGGGCAGGGCAGATTCTCCAGAAACACACTGCTATGGTCCTGTCCACCCCCACTTGGAGGCATCTGCCTTTTAAAGTCTGGTGCATTTACAGAGCAGATGAGCAGGGAGGTGGGTTGAGTCTATACAAGGAAGAGACAGGCTGGTGGCAAGTGACTGAACCAGCCACTGAAGACCAGCAGGCTTGGCTTGGCCTTGAACCTGGCCAGAGTCTATCTCAGTGCCTTCTCACTCTGATCCAGAGTGAATCATACTTGGAGCACAGCCTCATTCCCAACAAGCTTCCGATGTGCGTTCCTGCCTTCTTCCTTTCCTTTCTCTGCATGTAAAAATATTTTCCTTTCCAACCCCCCTTCCTGTGCTTTATAGGGTCACTCTTTTCTGGAGGGATGAATAAAGTTCATATATGTTCTCTTATTTATTATTAATAACAATAATAATAACTGCAAACACAATAGAGCACTATCTGCCAAACATTAAGTGCTTTCATATGTTAACTTTGGATGACATCAGAAACAAAATGACAGAGTAAGAACCTCCAAAAATCTTCCTCTCCATAAAAACAATACGAACAATGGCAAAAATGATCAGAATAAACTCTTTCAGAACTCGGGAAATTAACCAGTCATGCAACAGTCCGTCAAGGGCTTATTCAAGAAAAATGGGTGAATCTCTCAGTAAGAACAGTGAGCTTTGTGTTGCTTTAATCTGCTATATTCTTGTTTCCCCAAAACTCTGTTGTAGCCTTGAAAACCCACAGCCTAGCCCTGGCCAGGGACCTCAGTTGGCTAGAGCATTGTCCCGATATGCCAAGGTGTGGATTCGATCCCCAGTCAGGGCACATACAAGAATCAAAACTACTGAAAACTACTTATTTATATAAGTGAAACAACAAGTTGATGTTCCTCTCTCTCTCCCTTCTCTCTCTCTAAAGTCAATTTAAAATTTTTTTTAAAAAAAAAACACACACCACCAAAACCACAGTGAAAACCAGCAGCCTGATAGCCACCAAAAGGGGCAGAATGGGCTGGATCTCTTCCAAAGCCCCATTCCCAGAGAACTGTCATTATTTGATCTCTCTAGTGGTTCCCTAGAAGTCCCCAGTTACAAGGTTGTCTTTATTTGACCTGACTCTGAGCTCATCCAGCAGAAATAGTATTTTTCCCAGGGGGCATTTGCCAAAAACAATTAGAAACAATTGTTTAGTATCTTAACTCCCTGAAGCAGTAGATAGCAGGGCAAACAATCAGCCAACCAAAAAGCTGGGAATGAGATGTCCGTAGGTGACTCTGAAAAGTTTCAACACATTCCTTGGTTTCTAGAAAACCATGTGCATGCACAAGAAAGACCTGAGAAAGCCCTAAGCTCTCACCTCTGGCTTATCTTGAGGCTATGTGCAAGCAGAAAGTGAAGGCTAAAGCAGAAATGTATACTGCTTAGCTGAGTACTTCACTCTCTGCTAAGCAAAGAGCTCCTCAGTAAAGACTGAGAGATGTATTAGTTCCATGAATTTTAGGAAATCTTTGTGAGCTGACCACCAAACTAACTGAGTAGGGATACAGCCAAACATGACAAAGAATATGGACTTCACAAAATTAATTCAGAAAATCACTAAATAAACAACAATAACAAATAGCAACAGGAACAAACCCTGGGTAAGGGTGAGAATCTTATTTCTAGAGTTGCTACATTATATTGTTTAAATTTTCCAGTTTTAAATTTAAATTTTAAATTTTAAAACATTTCAAAACATGCAAAGAACTAAAAATGCATGGCCCATACATAAGGTGGGGGGAAGTAGTTGATAATAGATCCTTAAGGAAGCTGAGATATTGGACTTACTAGACAAAGACTTTAAATCACCTATTTTAGATATATTCAAAGAACAAAAACACACCATGTCTAAAGAACTAAAGATAAGAATGATGCCTCATGAAATAGAAACTATCAATAGAGAGAAATTATTTTTAAATGACCTAATAGAAATTCTGGAGTTGAGAAGTACAACTGAAATGAAAAAATTCACCAGAGGGGTTCAATAGCAGACCTGAGCAGCAAGAACAAATCCATGAACTTAAAGATAGGTCAATTAAGATTAGCTAGCCTGAGAAACAGACAGAAAAAAAGGAAGGAAAATGAACAGAGCATGCTATACCTGTGAGACAGAATGAAATGTACCAACATACACATAATGGTACTCCCAGAAGAAGAAAAGAGAGAGAGAGAGAGTAAGGAACAGGAAAGATATATGAAAAATAATGGCCAATATTTTTCCAAGTTTGCTGGAAAACATTAATCTAGAAACCCATGAAACTTGATGAACTCCAAGTAGAATAAATCAAAATATAGACACATCATAATCAAAAGGGAGATAAGTTGAAACATAAAGACAGACCCTTGTGAGAGCAAGAAGTAACTCATCACATATAAGGAATTCTAAGGAAGAAAAACAGCTAATTTTTCTCAAAAACCATGGAGGCAGAAGGCAGATGACATATATATTAACTCATCTAATCCTCACAAAATCCTCTATGAGGTCCACACTACTGTCATCACCCCATCTTATAGATAAGGAAAGTCAGGCACAGAGAAGTTGAGTAATTCAACTAAATTCACACAGTTACCATGGCAGGACCCTGGGCAATTCTTGAGTGACAGTGGCAAATACCTGGTTTAATTAGTCCTAAATGAGCATCTTATTGGTGCTGGAAGTGTCCAGACTGAGCTCTGGGTCTGACATACCCCCATCCCTGTTGTGGCCATCAGGAACCATGAAGGAGCCTGTGGTCTCCAATGTGCAGTCATGGGACCCTGAATGGATGTCCCTCCCAGGTCACGGGCAAAGGTATTGGCCACCCTCATGTGCTAAGTCCAAGAGAGGGGACAGGGTTGACCTGACTGTCCTCAAGCCCTAAGTTTAGTCATGTTAGACAGAAGCTGAGACTTCCAGATGTCCTCTGTAGGAATCCAACCCACTGGGTGCTCCCATCCCCCATGTGCCAGAACACTTAATAGGGGAGGGGAGAGACAGGAACACTGTACCTGGGCCACTGAGGGGAAAATCCCCCCCACCCCCAGAATCCACAGGCTGGCTTCCCAGACATGCAGCTTTCCCCTGTGATCTGAGCTAGGAAAGTTTTTGTGCAAACACCCAGGGGCAACAGCTGTTTGTCCAGAATGAAGCCTGGTGTCTATCTGGTGGGGTTGACAACCCAAACACAACCTGTGTGAGAGTGGCCTCAGCAACCCAGCACTACCCGGTAGCTAGGCCTCAGCCAGGCTCTCAACGGGCCTTCATCTCACCACCACCCCACCCCGAAGGCCTTTAACTAGAAGATCTAGAGGATCTCGAGTTATCAGAGAGGCAGCTGACTGTGAAACACACTTGAATTCAATCAATTCTTTTCAGAGGGTTTTCAATGACAACTGAAACTGGCCCTTATAGAATGAAACAGAAATGTTCCTTTGTCCAGACGGAGACATGTGGTGACTTAGGACACAGCACAATCCATTTTGAAGTAGCGATTGAAGAGAATCTATAGCTGATAACCTAAGAAATATAAGAGGCTGCATTATGCTCTAAAACAGCAGCAGAAGCTGTGAGAGAGAAAAGAGCAGCTTCGATTCTGACCTCACCGCTTACCAGTGTCAGACACCCCAGGTAACTCAGTTCAAAAGGAAAGCGATTTAAATATAGACACTCAAAGAGAAGGCGGTTTAACTCTCGGAACATTTACTGCTGCTAAGCCGGGCCTGGTCTCCAGGGGTCACTTCCTTCCTCAGTGACCCTGACATGGGGGAGGAGGGACGGGTGGGAGGCTACAGGCTTCAGTGGCAATAAGATAATTTAGGCCAGACAGAAGATGTCTACATCCAAATGAAGGCAGCACCTCAGGTGTGTCTCCAAAAAACAAGAGGCATCAATGGCCTTGTAAAAATGCAAATATAGCCTGAAGGTAAAGAAATGAAAGTGCAGACCAGAGGCCCTCTACACAGAGATGTTTTCCATTGAGGATCCTGAATCCACAGGAAAAAGATATCAATAAAGGGCCTCACACAAATAAAAAGCAACCCAACTTAGTTTTCTTAAAGAAACAAAAGAATATAAAATAACTCACTCACCTACAGCCTAAATCAGGAGTAAAGAATATTAAACTGTATTCAATATTCAATAAGACTGCCCTTTGATTTAACAGTATGTCTAGTTATAAGAGAGATGAGAGAGAGAAAAAATGGAAGAGAAATTATGCCTGAAATTATATTAAAATCAGCATGAATTTCTTTGTTCTGAGGCTTCCTCTACCCCCCTCCCCCCCCCCAATCAAATCCAAATTTTTGGTCCTACTGTCCATAGACCTTCTGTGGCTTTTCTGATATACATCAGGTAGACTGAGAAGCTCACCTGGGAAGGTCTTGCCTGGACTGCCTCTGCAGCCACAGGGGTCGGGGGTCCGATTAAACACGCACTGGTCACATTTGGCCCTTAAATGGGTTCTCTGGCCTTCACCCAAGTCCATCCAGGTGGCCCACTCAGAAAGGCACTTTGTGGGGCATTTGAAGGGGCCCGGAGCAGGGCTTCCCAACCTTGCTAAGCACCAGACTCTCCTGGAAAGCTTTTGAAAAACCCAGTGAGGCCGGGCTGGGCGCGACTCAGCAGTTGAGCATCTACCTAGGATCCAGGAGATCACGGTTTGATTCCTGCTCAGGGCATTTGCCCAGGTTGTGGGCTCCATCCCCAGTCAGGGGAATGCAGTCAGGGAGGCAGCCAATCAATGACTCTCTCATCATTGATGTTTCTATATCTCTCTCTCTCTTCCTCTCCCTGAAATCAATAAAGATATATTTTAAAAATATATATTGAAGAAAAAAAAAGGAAAGAAAAACCCAGTGAGTCAGGGTGGGCCTGATGCTGATGAGAAACACAGCTGTAGATTTTGGTGGGATCCATGGTTCCTTAACCTCAGCACAACTGCCACTCTGGGGCTGGATAATCCTATGGTGTAGGGGGCTGTCCTGTGCATAGTGGGATGTTTATCGGCATTCTGGCCTTTACCCACTAGATGCCAATAGCAGCCCTGCCAAGTTGTACCACCAAAAATGTCTCCAGACATTGTCCCATGTCCCTGGGGGACAGAATCAGACCTGGATGAGAACCACTGTGTAGCCCTTTGTTGATCATGTGTCCTGTCCCCCCTGACAAATGACTCAAGCCCTGGGCCTCCACTACCCCATCTGTCTAATGGGCTCAGTATCCACGGTGTTACCTGTACCTTTGGCTCAGTCAGCCTTGGCTCCCTGAAGATCTCCCAGGCTCTTACCCTTAACCTAATGAAATTTTGGTCTAAGGGTCAGAGAAAGGCGTTTGTGTCAGGCCAGAGTGAGGGTTTGAGGACAAGACCACCATCCATGAGGTCCCCTCATGCCTGCCTCGCGGGATCACGCCCACCCTCTCTTGGTAGAGCCTCTGCCTTGGCTGTGGGCCCCCTTTTCTCTCAACTCACAGGCTGTCTCCTCCTTTGCAGAGAAAAACTGTTCCTACTTCAGGCACTTTAACCCAGGCGAGAGCTCGGAGATCTTCGAATTCACCACTCAGAAAGGTGAGCTGGGGGCACGAAGCCGGGGCGGGGAGAAGTGGCCGCCGGTCACACGCTGCTGAGCCAGAAAATCACTTGGCACAAAAGCCCTGACTTCCCCTCGCTGGATGAAAAGAGCCCTGTCACCCTCTGCACTCAGAGACAGAAGTGCTCCGTCTCCCGCATCCTGCGCCTCCATTCATCAGGCTGGCAGAGGCTGTAACAGAGCCGGGGCCTGGTGGGCTCCTGAATTGCAGGAGGAGCACAGCTGCCACCAGAGCCCAAGGGAAGCTGTGGTGACAGGAGCTGGGAAATAGAACAAGTGCTCACAACCCCTGTGATGTTTTTCAGGGCTGGTGGGTCCGAGTCTGTGGGGAGCTGTCTGATTCCCTCCCATGCGATCAATCACGCCCCAAGAATCAGGCGAGCAGGGAGTGTGGGGAGACGATCAGGACCCGGGAGCCTGGAGCACGTGTGCCCTGCAGGCCTTTCAGGAGCCGTGGAGCTCGCATGCACCCCATTTTCGTGCGTACAGACCCACATTTGCACATGTGTGAACCGCTGCACATGGTGTGGGCGTGCACAGACACACATGCACACACACGCACTCTGATAGATCCTTATATGCCAGTGCAACACTCACACACACACTGGCAAATCTTACACCCTTGGTGTGCAATCACACGCCTGTGCTCTGTGGCAAGCCACACTTCCCGAGGCTGCCTGTCAGCCAGGACAGACCACCTCAGCCCGAGAGCCTGCTGCTTTCTGCCCTGTCACTCAGAGGACATTTTCTGCTCCAGAAAGGTCTCCAGCCACATGCCCTCACCCCTTTCCCTCTGCCCGGCTCAGGGGTTAGGGGGTCAGGGAGGAGTTGCCGTTTAGCGCAACCCGGGAGTTGCAATCAGGTCATTAGCCGTGTGCGACTTTGAGTGTGCGATTTCCTCTCTCGGAGGCTCAGTCTTCCCACACGTGCAATGGGAATCACAGTGCGTGGTGGTGTCACTCACCCGGTCGGTGGCACAGCCAGCCGGTTGGGCGCTGAGGCCCAGCGAGGCCCCCGCTGAGGTGTCGTGGGCCGTGTGTTGCAGAGTACAGCATCTCGGCTGCAGCCATCTCCATCTTCAGCCTGGTCTTCATCATCCTGGGGACCATCTGCGTGCTCCTGTCCTTCAGCAGGAAGCGGGATTACCTGCTGAGGCCGGCCTCCATGTTCTACACCTTCGCAGGTAGAGTGGGGGGGAGGGCTGAAAGGGGGGAAGATGTCTGCGATTGGTCCATTCCTCCCAAAGACTTAACCTGCAGGCCCCTGAGAGCAATGCCAGGTACTAACACATTTTAAATTAACCCAAAAACACGAACAAAAGGAGGAAGGAAACGCAGGTAACCTGAGGCCGAGCGACTTGCACGGGGGGGCAGGAAGAGGGTCACCTCTGCAGGGTCCCAGTTAGACCCTCAGCCCCAAGGCTGGGCCTCACCGTGGGCCCGGGAGCCCCGGAGGCCCAGGGGGTGGGCCCTGAGCGCCCCGCCGCCCCCGCAGGCCTCTGCATCTTCGTCTCGGTGGAGGTCCTGCGGCAGTCGGTGAAGCGCATGATCGCCAGCGAGGACACCGTCTGGATCCAGTACTACTACTCCTGGTCCTTCGCCTGCGCCTGCTCGGCCTTCGTCTTCCTCTTCCTGGGCGGCCTCGCCCTCCTCCTCTTCTCCCTGCCTCGGATGCCCCAGAACCCCTGGGAGTCCTGCATGGACTCCGAGCCCGAGCACTAGTCCTCCCGGGGTTCCAGCACCGCTCAGGGCGTTCCCCTCGGGGAGCCCAGCCCAGCCCAGAACATTCTAGAAAGGAGGGGGGAGCCTTACATCTCCCCTGCTTCCACCTGCCCCACAGCTGCTGCCCCTCTCTGAGCTCTTCTCTGGGCTGGGACAGGCTCCTCCACGCGTCCAGCAAGTGGACGCGGCCCAGACCTGCGCACCGGGAAGGAGGCAGCCCGCAGGCGCGCGGGTGTGCAAAGGCTGACCTGGCGCTGGGGCGCAAAGCCGTCCCCGCCGCGCCAGCTGCCTCTGCTCAGCTGGCTCCCGTTGCCCTCTGTTAGCCTTGTAAGGGACGCCCTGTGCTCATCAGCAGCCCTGGGTGTCCTCCTGTGTGAAGAGCCAGCCCCTCTGTCCTCGGTGACAAGATGCGCTCTTTTTGGCGAGCTGAATATCCATCCTTGGCTTCCAGGGGGCCTGAGAAGCATTTTTAACGGGGTATTTTCTGACTGTGGTTTGAAATAAAAGTTCTTTGAAAACTTGCTTTTTCCTGGCACCATGTGTAGGAAATGCTGGGGTCCCTGAAGACAACAGCTCAGGGGCCGCAACGGCCCTGAAGGAGAAAGGAAAGAGTGAGTGTCCCTGGGTATGTTGAGGACCTGTGTGGGGACAAGGAGGGAGGAGGGGGTCTTGTTTACCAATGAGATTTAAGGTTCTGAATTCCAGCTTGCATCTGTGGGCCCTGGGGTTTTCTTTGGGAGAAACCAGAGACCATCTGACTAGGCAAGGGTGTTAAAAATAGGAGGGGTTATTTCCAGCGTGCTGGCCCGCTAGGCATCCAAATGCTAACAAGTGTCTGATTTCAGATGCTGGATTTTCGTTGCAAAGAACATCAGGATGCAGGGCTTAGCTGTTAGACACGTAGGGCCGCACGGAGTGCCATATTTACACTCGCCTACCTCCCAGAGCCCCACTGTACTCACCCAGCCCTCAGAGTGGCACGGCAGGAAGAGCCGGCAGGGGGACCCACGCGCTCCTTGCCGGGGCCGTGCAGCAGAAGTGCGGCGTAGAGCTCATTTTTCTAGGGCCGGGGTTGCAAACTGACGGCCCTCAGGCCAAACCCAGCCCAGCTCCTATTATTGTCTGGCCCACAAGCTAAGGATGCTTGCTTTTATTTATTTATTTATTTATTTATTTATTTATTTATTTATTTTAACAATTTTAAATGGCTTTTTTAAAAAGTCAGAAGAAGATGATTTCATGATGTGAACATTTTATGAAATTCAAATTTCAGGGTCCAAAAATAAAGTTTTATTAGAATCGTCAGGCTGAGCAAAGACACCAGTTAAATGGTAAGGACCGCTGTTAATCCGTAACACTCTGTTACAATAAGGGAGAGTCCAGGCTGAGCTGAACTCAGCTGTGATTTGAACAGAGGCGGTCAGGCATTTTAAAGGCAGGGTGGGGGGGCTCTGTAGAGTCTGAGGAGTGGAAGATTACAAACAGCAGAAGGAGGGGCTGGTCCATGTGAAACCCATCTCCGTTTGCTAACTGGCACTTACCAGCGCTGGGCTCCTCCCCTCCCACAGAGGCTGGGAGACAGGTGTGGCTGGAACCAACAGCCAACTCTTCCAGCAGCGGTGAATTTTCTCAGGCAGGCACTTGAAGGGGAGTTAGGGTCATCCTAGGGATGTGGCCCGAACAGAATACATTTGGCTTTTATAGAGTTGTGTAGGGTTTTTTTCCAAATCCTTAACTGAGGATATGTTTTTATTGATTTTTAAAGACCAAGGAAGGGAGAGAGAGAAATGTCGATCAGTTGGGGACCAAGAGACATGTCACCCTCTCTTTGGCTGACACACAGCAGGGCCTTCCCCAGTTTGGTTTTTATCCCTCCTGGAGCCTGAAACTGCCAAGGACCCCTGTGTGCCTCTTTTTCCTGGCTGCCCCAATACAGAGGGGTCTTAATCACACCCTCCTACAGTATTTCTCCTGCCAGTGTGACTTGCCTCATTTCGATCAAATATTTTATTTACAAATTCATTTCTAATTCATACCCTGCTGGCTTTCAGAAAAGACCTGAAGTGGAGACAAGGTATAAATAAACCCATGAGATGGGACGTACCTATTAAACCATGAGTGGGGTTCAGCGGGGCCGCCACTGCCCTGGCCTCCTCGGGCCCTCGTTTCGCTGTCTCACTCAGGAGCCGCGGCCGAGGCCATCGTTAATCCCCACACAAGGCATCGATCCTGCCGGCGAAGGAAGTTCATTAAGGTAATTGCTGTTACCAGGAGCGACAGAGTCTCCTCTCCTGACTTTTTCTGCTGACAAGAATCTTTGGCCTCAACGGGAAAGACCCAACCTCTTGGAAATTCTTGTTGATTTCGGGTTATACTTGCCTCTCTCTTCCCCCACAAGGCGGTCCTGGTGACCCCACGAAGAAATGGGGGGTGGGGGATTTGTCTGTAAGCACAGCCTGAGAGTTCTGGGCTCTGAGCTTGGGGACTTCGAAACCTATTTCCAAGTCACTGACTTAGTGGCTGACACACTCCCCGCCCCCACTCCACCAGGCTGGCAGAATTTGTGCTTCGTTTCAAACAGGGTCTTAGGGGAACCAAGGGCATGTTTTAAAGCATTAATGAGCTTAATAAAACCAGGGATACAGTTTCACCTGGAAATGGCCAAGAGGCAGGGAGGCGACAATGTATAACCTGCCTAATGGGGAGGAAAGTGAGAAAAGGGACATGCCACAGCCAAGGCCGGCCCAGCCTCGGAGAGACGCAGCCAGTGAAACCGTGACAAATGAGAAAGCGGGCCAGCGACCTGGCTGCCAGATGATGGGTGTGACGGACGCTGAGAGAGACATTCTAGGAACACTGACGGACCACAGTTGTGTGGGTTTCACAGAAGTTTCATGAAACCAAAATCAAGGTGTCAGCAGGATGGTTCCTTCTGGAGGCTTCAGGGAACAATGCATTTCCTTGCCTTTTCCAGCTCCCAAGGACCGCCCACTCTCCTTGGCTTGTGGCCGCATCCCTCCAGTCTCTACTTCTGTCCTCACATTCCCACTTCTCTGACTGCAACCCTCCTGCCTCCCTCTTACCAGACCTTTGTGATTACACTGGGCCCATCCAGATAATCCAAGATCATCTCCCATCTCAAAGTCCCAACACAATCACATCTGCAAAGCCCCTTTTTCCATATAAAGTCTCAGGTCCCAGGGGTTAGGATGTGGACCTCTGTTCACAGGTTCTGAGGACTCCGATGTGGACATCTTGGGGGACCGTTATCCTATCTGCCCCCCCGATTATCAACATTGCACTGTGCATAACAAGGAAAATACATTATGGTCCCGTCCTTCAGGAACTTCAAGTTCAGTGGTAGATGGTTTAAAAATAAAATATAATTGCTATGAGGTTCGGGCGGGTCCCTTGGGAACACAAAGGGGCGTGTGGCCTGCCCCCTTCGGAACCTGCTGAAGTCCTGCTTATTCTGCAGGGCCCAGCTCAGACATCACGAGGCGACATGTTCTCCAAGCCCTCGGTGCCAGACTCGCGCTTCCCCCCCTTCGCCCTTGACACGGGGCTCCTGCGCCCGGTGCTGAGCCGCTCGGCACAGTGCATCTGAGAGCCTTGCTGTTTGAAGGGAAGGGCCGTGTTTCTCTTCAGAATCATCCCGGCAGCTAGAGCCTCCCCCGCATCCTCTCTTCCAAACCCTCCGCAGTTACCTTGACCGATGCTTGCACCCCAATGCTCCCGAGGAGGAGACGGGCTGGGCGAGCGTGCTGCAAAGACGCTGCAAAGAGAACGGGCAAGTGCAGTCCGGAGGCCTGGCGGGGCAGGGGAGCAGCCTGGGAGGGCTCCCTCTCCCCCGGCTCCCTGCCCCAGGTGTCTGCAGCCCCAGTGGCTTGTCCTGCGCTTGGCCCTGGTGGGATGAATGAGACCGGGTCAGCTGTACCTGTCACAGCACAGAGCAGGGCTGCGTTTGTCCCAGATGAGGTGAGTTTCTGAGCCAGAGCACAGCAGCCGACAGAGCCTTTTAGGAGCAGATTTCCATTGCTTTTAATTACCCTGGATCACAATTTTTTTCCAAAATGTTTTCTCTTCCACCCTATGAGCAGAATCACCCCGTAGAAATTATTTCAGTCCTAGAAAGCCTGCAGGGACACCCGGAGGAGGAGAGGTGATTCATCGGGGAAAGCCCGCTTGCTTGCCTACCTTCCAGTGCCTTCCAGTTGCTTTCGCCCCAGGTTATGCAACTGACTCTAAGTCTGGTCCCGAAGCTGAGGGTGGGATCCACAAAACTTCCTCTTAGAAGAGCCTCTGCCTAGTTTTGTAAAAGCACGTCCCTGTCTGAATTCCCAGCAGAGGGAAGACCTCACCAGCGGTGGACACGGCCCCTCCCCGTCAGCTCCCTCCAGGTTTTTGTGCACCAAGGAAGCCAAACCCTGAGGACGGGCTGGAGCCTTCCGAGCTTTCCTTGCAAGCTCTCCGACAGTCAGGCACTGGGCTCACTCCAAGAGGCCTTGTCATCAGATGACATTTTTATTCATTAGTGAGCAAACAACGTCAAACCACCTCCTTGGCTGGTTTCCTTTGCCCAGAGCCCAGAGCTGAGGCCAGTGGCCGGCAGCCACGCCCACCTTCCAGAGCCCTGTGCCCGCTCATCCAGCTCCTAACCAGGGTCACTTCCTTCCAGAGCCCTGTGCCCGCTCATCCAGCTCCTAACCAGGGTCACTTCCTTCCAGAGCCCTGTGCCCGCTCATCCAGCTCCTAACCAGGGTCACTTCCTTCCAGAGCCCTGTGCCCGCTCATCCAGCTCCTAACCAGGGTCACTTCCTTCCAGAGCCCTGTGCCCGCTCATCCAGCTCCTAACCAGGGTCACTTCCTTCCAGAGCCCTGTGCCCGCTCATCCAGCTCCTAACCAGGGTCACTTCCTTCCAGAGCCCTGTGCCCGCTCATCCAGCTCCTAACCAGGGTCACTTCCTTCCAGAGCCCTGTGCCCGCTCATCCAGCTCCTAACCAGGGTCACTTCCTTCCAGAGCCCTGTGCCCGCTCATCCAGCTCCTAACCAGGGTCACTTCCTTCTCAGGGATTATAGACAGTTTCCCGAAACAGTGGTTCAAAGCAGTTTGACGAGCATCAGTTTTAATGAGCTAAGAGTGGGATAATACCCTGGATTTTTGCAAGCTGCAGCTTCTGTTCAATTTAATTACCACCCTCTGCGAATTGAGCATCAACCGGAGCTTCAGACAAAGGGGGGTTTCTTCGCTCTCCCAGAACTCTGCATGGTAGGATGTGCCCACAGACCAGGATATGCTCACGTAGGCAGCATCCATCAAAACCGATATAACCATGGTGACGCTGTCAAACTAAGGGATCTAACCGTGATACCTGGCAAGTCACAAAATGCTCGTGAATGCGAATGCTTTGTCACTGCCGGGAGAGCTGTGTGGAGTGGGCAGGGATGTCACCGCACAGGACAGCTCACGCCTCCTTCACTCTGCCATCTGGTCGCACTGCATTGGCAAGAGGTGTCAGCG